AATGTAATGAATTCAACAATTTTTTTCTTCTTTTTGTGGGGTGTATAAATATGGGGGTAGCTAAACACAAGGGACTACAAGTCATGGCACTTGTTTTGTCCCTATAAAACACTATCCTTGTTCATTTTTGTCTCTTTCCAATGGCCAAGTCTTCTAACTTGAAACTATTACAAGGATTCTGTTTTTCCTCATTGCCGGCCTTCTTAATCTCTCTTCTTTGTTCTTGCTTGATGTCTTTGTGGAAATTTTTGTTCAACTGTTTTTTCTTTGATCACATTTGTCTTTCAGATATGTAAATCACAGTAAGGTGTTTCCCAAATTAGGGAGAAAAAAGCTCAAATCAAGGGCAACTATTGATATTGTATGACAATTTTTTTTTTTTTTTTTTTTTTTTGAGTTGACAATTAATCATCTTAAGCCATATAAGTTAGAAGCTTTCTGCGATAGGGTAATTGCTTCACCGTTGTGTATGTTTCTAAATATTAAATTTAATGAAAATCAAATTAAAGGAAAAGGCATGCAAAACTTAAATTTGCCGATTTAAAATTGAGGCCTAGCTACTAGCAGAATATTCCCACGGCAAAAATCTCATATAGTAAGTTAATAGGTTAGTGCAAAAATGGCTAATCGGGACAATAAAACAAACTCGCTTAGTTAAATCAGTGGATAAAAGTGAGCTCAATGGAATAGAGTTGTACTTGGAATAGAGTTGCACTTTAATGGAAACTTTTGAATCAAATGTTAAGAGTATCATTTCTGTTTTCCTTCTGTCCATAATTAACTTTTTCAAAAGAAAAAGATAGAAAAACAAAATAGTTTGATATGGTTTTTTTTTTTTTTTTTTTTTTGATAATAAAATAGTTTGATATGATTGATTTTGTAATTTCTCAGCTCAAAAAGAGCTGTGAAAAGGGGAAACAAAAAACAATAAAGGATTTGCTATCAACTTTTTGCAAATGCTGCCAACATCTCAAATGGAAGTGGCAATGGAATGTCATTTCAAGATATGACAGGCCAAACTATTATATGCTTATTGTATATTAACACAAATGCCAAACTGATGAACAAACCTTCTTAACTAGCAAAGTGCTATCCAATATTCATGAATGTGACAAGTAAGCCTTGTATTTTCATTCTAGTAGCGACTCAAATCCCTTCAATCATATGCCAATAACATATTGTAGTACACTTAATTCCTTTTGATTAGCAAAATAATAATCATAATAATAATAAAAAAAAAACAAGTTATTTGGTGTTCCCTTTAAGAAAAAGGAAAAAAAAAAAAAAAAAAACAAAAGAAAACCAGGTCTGTTCTATGAGATGGAGTACTAGGTAAAAATGGAGCAACACCAAGCCCAGTAATATCCCCAACAAGGAAAATCATTCATGTACAATAAGAGGTAAAGAAACTTGTAGAAAAAGGGTAGACTACTATGTATAACACAATACACATCACCAAATTTGTTGCCAAAATACAATGTCTCCACCACATTAATTGCTGAAAAGCAAAAAAAAGCAAAAACAAAATAAAAATAAAAATAAAAAATAAGATCAAGCCCCCTAAAAAAAAACTTAAAAAATGGGGACCATGGACCATGAGCTATACAATTGACACACCAAAAATTCAAAGTACTGAAGCTGGAGAATCCAGATCATCACAACTAAGCTCTAAGGAAGGGAGAGAGAAAGAGAGAAGAGAGAGAAACCTAGCTAGATAGATAGCTTAGGCTAGCTAGCCTAGCTAGGAGTCAATAAATTCAGGTTTCCCTATTCTAATACTAGTAATAAGGAATACATGCATATGGCAAAGACAATGACAGTTGCTTTCCTATCTTCCCCATTTATGCCACACCCCGTTTATGCGTAAGCACATGCTTTCTTTGCAGAACATGTCCTGTTTCAAGTTTTACATGAAGCCACTTTGCAGTCTCACTATGAAAAATCATTTTTCATTTTTCTCCCTCTCATCATCATGCTCCTTATACCCTACCATCACCATTCAGAACTTCTCCTCTTTTATATATATATATATATATATATATATCATATGTATACATGATCTTTCCCCACATTTTTCTTTTCTTCTCTTCTCTTTCTTCGTCTTCTTTGATATTTCTCTTCATGATCTTCTTTGTTTTTCCTTTTCTTTTCTTTTTTGTTTTTTTCCTCTTTGTAATCAAATCCTATGGATGGGTTCACTTTTATAGATAGATACTGTGGATCGACACATACATGTGCAGACTTGTTGCAAATTCTGAATGTGTCATCTTAGTCAGTGTTAAATTAAAAGTTTAAAAGAGGGAAGAGAAAATCATAGTGCCAATGCTTTTTTTTTTTAATTTAAATTTTTTGTTGTATAAATACAAATATATATATATATATATATATATTGTGATAAATACTAAACAACAAAAACCCACAAAAAAACAAAGAGAAACAAACACGAAAACATATTGGGTCAGTTATAAAACTAACAAAACAAGGGGATAGATAGGAGCTATCATAAATGAAAGAGAAAGAATAGCCATTTCACCAAAAGGAAGCAAGACAGCAGGAGTCATTGCAAAGAGAGCCCATTCAGGATAATAGCAATAGAAACTGACTCTTGAAAAGATATGAGGGAAAGCAAAGCAAAGCAGGGCTTGGGATTATTAGGGCCCTTGGCTTGGCCCTAGCCCAAGGCCAGTCCGACCACCCACCGACAGTGAAAGCCACTATTTTTTGCTGCCATTAAAAACCTCTAGTTTTCTCTTTTTTTTCCCCCTTTAAACTATATTTTGTGTGAATTCTTCTTTTGGCCCTGCTAACTTGCACTCATGTTGTAGTTTGTCCCTTGAACATGAAAAAACCCGAGTTTTACTCCTCAAATAAATGAAAAACTTTGCCGAATTTAGAGGGCAAAAGCGAGACAAAATAAGACGTGACTGAAAATTCATACGACATTGTCATTATTTCAAAAGAGTTAGTGTAACAGTAATGTTCATCACGTGACACACATTGGTCCCCCTTTTTTTTTTTTTTTTTTAAGCAATTCTAAAACGAAGGTGGCAAAACGGGACATTGGCATTATTTGAAAGGAGTAAAGTGTGACATTTTCAAGTTTAGGAGCGCAGTGGAACTCTAGTTAAAGCATAGTAGGAGAGAGAACCAAAAAAAAAAAAAAAAAAAAAAAAAAAAAAAAAAAAAAAAAAACAACAACAATAATGACATTTAACCTTGTTCTTGTAACTTATGCAGAGTGTTGTACAAAATGGGGTCCTTGGTTTAGGATATGAGCCCCTGAAGTTTGGGACAGTGTCCTTATTGAGGACACCCCACAGCTAGTAAACATGCTGGTGAAGGGCTAGGACCAGCTCTAAGAAACCCCACCTCTTGGTTGGAATGATGTAGATATATGGCTGGTGGGCAAAGGTCAAAGCATAGTCCCATTCCCAGAGGGGCTGGGAGATTGGGTTTGCGGTATGGTGCGGTGTGGGATTCTGATTGGGTGTCGGTTTGACCCGACACCGATAGGGACAATTCCTATTCCCAGTTGGGGCTATCACAAGTAAGGTGACCACTGACCAGGGAGCCAGTTCCACTGGGTCGACTGAGACCAGCATGCTCTTTGTTTGTACTTTTTTTTTTTTTTTCTTTTCTTTTCAAAATGAACAAAAAATGTGCTAGGATTGGTTCCTAAGACACAGGCAAGTGGGTTTTGATTTTGTGTCGTGCGTTTTATTAAGAGTTTGCAAGTAAAAAAAAGAAAGAGCTCTCTTTTGTTTTTATAGGCACGTTGTGCATTCGGTTGGTTGATTTCACATAACTAGACCAGCCTTGTCTTGTTTTGTTTTTTTTTTTTACAAGATATAATGGTAGTACATATTTGCAGTTTTAACACTTTAACTAGTGCTCTTTTTTACCAAGCGGAATGCACAAAGCGTGGAGACATAAACATGAAAGTTTCCTGCATGGTTCGGGCATCTATGTTCTTGTTTCTCGGGGCAGTTTTTTTGTTTTATTTTGTTTTGTTTTTTTCCTTACCACCAACTACAATTACTAGTTATATTAAGCCAAGCCGTGATTAGTATTTGAGCCTCTACGGTTATATTGCCTCTCTCTCCTGTATGGTGAGGCCTCAGATTGGCCCAAATTGTTCATCCAAAAATTCATAGGGCCGTCTCCAAGTCGATTACCATGGATGGGAGGTTTAGGTAAAGTATATAGTTACACCCAATACAATAATTAAAGCGGATATACCACCTCCTCTTCACTCTTTCACGTCTGATAATCTGTTTTGATAATAAAATGAGTCCTTTATCAGTCATTCGTCATCAGGGGAAAAAAAAAAACAAAACAATTGCGCATCATTCCGTAGACGAAACAAAAATCAGTCAAAATGCACGTCATTTGATAGCCCAAAACCGACCACACCATCAACATAACCACACTGATTTCCTACTGTAAAATGTCATAACTATTTAATTTAGTTACGACATTCTACTGTAGGAAATCAGTCCAAAGATCCAAAGAGGGAAAGTCCTGACGCCCCGCGTACACAAATCCGGCACTGCGTAGAAACTAGAAGCTGTGCACTTTGACCGTTAAAGGCAGAATGTTTTTCTATATCAAGGTCCCATTAAATTGTTTCTTTTAGAGCTTGTTAGTTTTAAGAAAATGGTAAAAGAGGAAGGATAGTGGTGAGAGGCTTAATAAAAAGAATTTTGGGCTTCCAAAGAGAAGGCGAATGAAAAGATTAGGAAAGTAAGTTTAAATCCTTCAAATAGCACTAATTTGACTCCAAATATAGAAGAGATTGGCAAAAGAATTAAGAATCCATACCTCGAGAGAAAGGTCATTCCCTCCTGTTTTCCTCACCTACCCATACTGATAAATTACCATGACCACGACCCTTAACATGCTTCTTTGGTACCTTTATTTTATGACCAATCCAATGCCAACTTTCGTACAGCAATTTGATGAACAAAGGTTGAAAACATGAGAAACAAAGCGAGACTATCTCGGAAAAATATATGCGCGGTGTTCTCTTAAAGCCAGCAGAAATTCGCCGCCGCAAACAGCACAAAAACCCTGATAATCCCGAATAATAGTGCTTTTACAGTGAGAAACTCAGAAACAAGAATAGCACAACCAGACTCCAACAATAGCCATAATAATATAGCCAAATGAGAATCTTTACTAAAACGGTCCTACAGATTACATAAAGATCTATTCTTGCAATTATGAAATCATCCCAAAATATATTTTTTGGTTGAAATCAATGCCAAAACATATTTTGAATTATCTAACACAGCTCATAAGGAAAAGCAAAGGGTTGACATGAAAAAAGAACAAAAGCTTGAATACAAGCAAGCATCTCCAGCAATAGGAGCCCCCCTTCTTCACTCGAATGTGTCATCGTCATCGTCAGGAAGAGGCTGAGCAGCAGCTTGGGCAAGCTCCGCTTCATGACTGTAAGAAACAAAAAGACCGCATTAAGACAGACAGCAAAAATAAAAATTTGCATCTTAAATTAGGATGCTACAAAAGATTCATCCAGACAAGCAGTGTGGATCGAGGCTTTTACTTTCCACTGAGTCCAATAAAGAGAGCGCATGTATATAAATATAGACCTTAATGTTAACAGCAGTTGCTTAAACTTGCAACAGTCAACAGATTACAGAACACAGTAAACATAAATCATTTATGGTACTCAAGAACACAAGGGATCATTTACCTAAACCACAAACTCGTGCCGATCATGGTATTTAAAGATATATTATGCAACCAAATTATACAAATTATTATAATTATCAATAGGTAAAATGTACTTACAGTTGTTGAGCAGCCAAGTCAATGTGTACTTCTGGTGGAGCAAGAGCAGGACTCTCCACAAAGTGAAGATTAGGATCCCTGTTGTCACCATCACATTCATGAATTCAGATATTGATGAAAAATTCATAAATGAATGAAAATAAAGGGAAAAAAGTAATCACTTACCCAGCAAGTTTCCTGGCAAGGTACAGGAAAGGCTTCTCAAAGTTGTAGTTGCTCTTTGCAGATATTTCATAGTATTGCAAATTCTTCTTCCTGTGGAAGGTTACCTGCTTGGCCTTAACCTGCCTATTCTTCACATCGACCTTGTTTCCACAGAGAACTATAGGAATGTTCTCACAAACCCTGAAATTGCAATGCAAATCAACAGAATGAAAACCTGCTACAAGGAGAATTTTAAAAACGACACAAAATAGAAATCTGAGAAGACTAGTTTAACATACCGGCAGAGATCTCGGTGCCATGTGGGAACATTCTTATATGTCAAACGAGCTGTGACATCAAACATGATAATCGCACACTGCCCATGAATGCTGCAAATAATTAAAGAAATGTAAGTTCAACACTTTTTGAACTTACAACCAGACAGAACAAAAGGATTAACATGCTAGCACTACAATGAGAAAAAATGGCTCTACCAAGTTCAACGAAAGGAGAAAATGACAAGTGAAAAATCAGTTCATTATTAGGACATTATATTCATATTTATGTCAAGCCTGCGACAACCACCATGTCAAGAATATTAAAGGAAGTAACTAAAGGGAAACTAATTCTAGACACCAAGTATGGTGGTACTCGTTTTAAAATACAATTCGAGCACTAGTTTAACTTGCTTTTAATAGAGATACTAAAAACGGCTAGGGACAAAAGGATTAGTGCAAGAATCTGGCTCACTGATGTGACTTCTAACGTAAAAGATGAACACCACGAGAATACTTAATGATTTACTTACTAGTAACCATCTCGCAGACCACCAAACTTCTCTTGTCCAGCAGTGTCCCAGCAGTAGAACCGGATTTTCCCACAATTTGTGAAGAAGTCCAACGGGTGAACTTCAACACCGATAGTTGCTGTTTAGAACAAAAAATCATACAAATGAATAGAAGTAGCAAACAAGCAAATGAACCCAATAAAACCAAAGACTAATTACAAACACAGAATTCAGGCTCTTACGTTCATATTTCTTCTCAAACTCCCCGGTAAGATGTCTCTTCACAAAGGTCGTTTTCCCTGCAAAATTCAAAAAATTATTCAAATCACCACATACCACATCATAATTATGTATACGGTGAGCAAGCATTTCATATTTTCATGATAGAGAAGCAAGATAAATCTATAATCTCAAATACCCAATTTCGTTTTTAATATTAATGAAAAGCCCAAAATTTTAGATCCATCTGCAACGCTGTAAAAATAAAAAAAAAATAAAAAAACAAACCCTATTGCAATTTCCAATAAATTGTATGTTTAACATTTAAAAAACAAAAACCTTTGAAAAAATTAACGCACTCTTTTTTTCCCACAACGGAACTAACACGGTTTTCCTCAAAATACATCCCAGAAATGAGTCTCGCTTCAAGAGCAAACGGAGCCAAGAAAGCCGAAAATAATTTGTATAATAAAAGCACAAAAGAAAAATGAAAAATAAATATAATCGAAACCCTAATCGCACAATTAAAGAATATCCCCAAAACTAGATCAAGAACACGCATAAACGATGAAACAATAAAAAGAAATTTATCATTATTGAGGGAAATAAATATTACCTGTGCCACCATCGCCGACGATAACGAGCTTGAAGCTTGGATAGTCAACAGTTTGTTGGTTTGGCAAAGCCTACGAAACAAACGATTCAAAAACCATAAACAATCTTTACCATGGAAATAACACGATTGAGGCTAGACAACAAGTTCGATCCGTAAAACCCTAGACTAAATGAAAAGATAACGGAAACCAAACAAAATAGAGAGAGAGATTGTTACCATAGCAAAGGAGTTGTTGCAGAGCAGAGAAACTCAGTTAACGGAAGACAGAGAGAGAGAGAGGGAGAGAGAGACGGCTGAAGAGTAGAAATGGGGGTTTAGAGGGGGGAGAGAAGCCTTAATAGGCTTTCTTTCTGGCTTTAGTTTCACGCTGCTTTCTCCACCGTACGATTTGATTACTTTTTAGGGGCATCGGATATGTTCTAGAATCCAAAAAAAAAAAAAAAAAAAAAAATCTCCTCTATATCGGTCTACTTCCCTGGAAAATTGAATTTCATTCGTGAATTTTTAAACGAATTTTTGCAATAGTTCGTCTATTTCATTTTTTTTTCCTGTAGTGTCACTAAAATTATTTTTAATTTTCATATTTTGAAAAGTTAATTTCAAAAATTTGCAAGATCTTTCTTAATCGTCGGTTTATTACAAAAAATTTAGATAGAACATTTTGACAATAATTTTAAATTTTTAAAAATTTTTGTAGAAGAAAATAATATAGTAACTTTTTCTTATTCAAACTTACGAAATAAATAATTTATAATTTTTAAAAATTTTTGTAAAAAAAAATAATATAGTAATTTTTGTTCTTTTACACTTAAACTTAAAAAAAATTTGAACTCAAGTTACAACTTTATTTAAGTTTATATTCTTTTATAAAATTTGAGTTTAAACTTGAGTTTGAAGTTAAAATCTGAGTTCAAATTTTCCCTTCAACTTAAGTTTTTAAACTCAAATTCAAGTTAATAAACAACATTTTTTCTATTCTTATAAACACCATAATTTTTTCGTTTTAATTCCGATTGAGATGATTTTTTTCTATGCGTTTACAATGAAAAGATGAATAAAACCCCACCCATATACCATATTAAAATTTTTCATCACCATTAAGTTTTAATTAAAATACTATTCAAATATAAATTCAAGTTTTGACATACTCAAATACAAACTCAACAAGATTCTTATCTCAAATGTACACAACCAAACAAAAACTCAAGTTACAATTTTTACTCAAGTTATAACTCAAATTCAATTCAAGATATACACTCAAATCACCTTAACTTAAAAATGCAAACAAATAAAGTTTCAAGATATTTTAACATATTTTTAAAAATAATTTAATGTCTAAGAATTTAATTATATAACTGGATGTCCTAATAAAAGTGTTTAAAAAAAGGTCAATTTAAAGCTTGATAATATACGTTTGCTTTCAGAATATGTTACCGAATTTGTATAAATAGTTTCCGGATTTAGCTGCCTTCAATCGAGGGAAAATGGGAACTTCATTTTTTTTTTCTGCTGAACGAAAATGGAAACTTCTTAAAAGGTTGTACAATGAAAGCCTCGTTCACTTTACAGATTCAAGTTTTCAATTTGAGTTGAGATGTGATATTTTTTTAGAGCTTTTCACTATAGCAAAAAAAATTAAATATGACATTTTCTGAGAGTTTTTTACTATAAAAATCTAAAACTGAAAATTCGAATCGGTGAAATGAATGAGGTCGATTATTGTAGCTAAAAGAATTTTGAAAGATGTTCGAAATTCATTTTTTTAGTCTATGGTTAAAGACTTATTTTCACGTGACTATGCATCAAATTCCACCAATTTGATTTTTATTTGTTCTATTTAGTAGTATGATTTACTTTGCGTAATCTTGACAAATACTCTTTAAAAGTGTATGGATCAAGATTTTTATCTTTTACTCTTAATTCATAACATTTTTAGTCAAATAATTATACTAACAAAAAAGTATTTATCAAGAGTAAGTGATAAAAATTTAAACGCATGCACTCTCAAGAATAAATTATCTATTTTTCATTTACCTTTTCATAAATCATGATTGTAATAGCATTGAGAGTTGAAAAAGAGGGGGTAAAAAATACCAAAAAATATTTAAGGGATATAGAGATAAAGGACCGTTTTTTAAGGATTTTTTAATATATTGTTGAAGTTTTGTAAAATTAGAGAAATGGAGTAAAAAATAGTGGGTGCGTTTGGAATTGGTTCCAAAATGTTTTTATTTTTTGTATAAAAATGAAAATGAAAACGTTTTTATTTTTATTTTGGAATCATTTCTGAAAATGCGTTTGGTAGTTTTATTCTGAGATTGTTTTCAATTTAAATAATATATTATAAACATGTTATATGTGAAAACTACAGAGGAAGAGGAAGAAGAGTGGGGGGTGGGCAGTCGAAGATGCGCGCAGTCTCAGAGTGGAAATGAAAACATGAAAACGGAAAAAATCCGTTTTCAGAAACATGAGAAAAAAAGAGAAAATGAAAATGGTGTTTTCAGTTTTAATTTTAGAAATTTTAGGCCAAACACGTTTTCTGTATGCATTTTCAGTTTTTTTTCTCGAAAACTGTGAAAAATGGAAATGAGACGGGAAACAAACAGGCCCAGTGTAATAGCGTCGAGAGTTGGAAAAGATGGTGTAAAAAATAGTATTTTACCCATCCTACCTATTCACAGTTTAGTCAACATTATTTTTTACTCATCCTACTTGTACGCCAAAATGGGCCATAGTACCAGAGAGAAAGTCTCTTATTTTATTTTATTTATATTTATATTTTTGTTAAAGTAATTTCAACCATATTAGTTATTTTATATTTTTAACCAAAATAATTAATGATTTAGCTTTTTTTTAGGGGCTGTTCAGTTGAATGAATTTACTTAAGAAATGCCCACTCAAGTGATGAATTTGCCCCAAGTATGCGTTTGGTGTCGGCTTACTCGAAACCAAACTAAAAAATGAACTCGAGTTACTTGGCCAATCTCGAGTTCATCCTCTGCCCCTCTACTCGAGTAACAAAATTGCTAAAAAAATTCCGACGAAGTCCTTCTCCTCCAACGCAAACTTTATGACATCCCACCTATGATGAGGTGCTCTGTTTCTCCTCCGCCATGAGAACTTCTTCGGCGAAGTCCTCCTCCTTTGCCGCCAATCACCTCTGCGTACTTGCTGCCGGCCACCTATGCGCACTCTTTGTTGTGTGTGACACCACCCTCACCAAATAACTCTCTAATCGCAGATCTACGGAACCCAACCATTCATTTGTCCAATCTCGGCTGAAATCGCCATCGACGCCGCCTATAAGTCGCGACCTAGTCATCATCGGAGGGGATTTAGAAATTGGGGTGGATTGAGTTGTGGGATTGTAAGGAATTATTGGTGAAGTCCGGGGTTGAGATGGTGAAAGATTTTACCGTTTATTTGGGTTTGAGGGCGGGGGAGGATGTCATTTATTGGGCGGTTGATGTGTCTGGGGAGAGTGGTTTAATAGTTGTTTAAGAGTTCTTTTTTTTTTTTGGGAAAAATTTCATAAATGGCTTTGAACCTAAACTATGTACGTAATTAAAATGATGATGTGGTATTTTAAATTGCATAAAATTAAATAAATTTAAATAAGAAATTTTTTTTTTCTCTCCCCACTATTCACAACTCAAGTTTTATTGTATATCCAAACACAAACTAAAAAGGATTTTTATCTCAAACTATAACTCAAATGTACACAACTAAACACAAACTCAAATTACAACTTTATCTCATGTTATAACTCAAATTCAACTTAAGAACTACATTCAAATCACACTCCAAAAGAATATACGTTTTTTTCCACTCTAACCATTAGTTAAATTGTTAGTTATTTTGGCTAACACATTTTTCACTAGCAAAATATAACTAATAATAAAGGACTAACTATTTGTTATTTTTATTATTTTATTTTTTGTTTTGACATAAAATAAAAATTAAAAAAAAGTTAGTTATATTTTAAACTATAAAAAAATTTTAAAATAATTTATATTTAATTAAAATAGAAAATATAATTAGAGTGATTTATTAAAAAATTACTAATTAAAATAAATTTTTAACTATTTTAACTAAAATTTAGAGAGATTCTTTAAAACGCTCTTAGTAGCTTATAACTATTAAGTTCTCACAAAAAAAAAAAAAAAAACTACAAGGGTCTATTTATTTTATACATAAAACTCATAATTTTAATTATGTTATAGGATTTTTTTTTATAAAAATTTAAAATTTAAATATTAAAATTAAAAATCACTGTTTTAAAGAACGAAACAAAGGCCATCCGAAGAGAGTGAGAGACAGGGTAGATAGAAGAGAGGGCAGGAGAGTTTTTTGAGCCTACATTCTACACGAGCCTACCTTGGAATGTTAAGCAGCACATTGGAGTTCGGACCATCTCTTGTCCCCAGATCTCGATCGTTTCGAAGTCCACAATGGCCTCTCCATCTGATTCCTCCTCCCAGTGAGTCCTCCAAAAGAACTCCAACGCAAATCCATCAATACCAAACAAGACACGAGTTTTCATGTTTTAATTTATGTATTTGTTCATGTGCATGATTATGTCGCCAGGGAAGCTGCAACAAGGAAGCAAAACAAGGGACCCCCATATAAGTTCTTAGCGCCTCTCGTTTACGCCCCAGTTCTTCCTCTGAGTGAGTTTTTTGTTTTTTTTCCCCGCTCTTTTACATGAAATTTGAAATCTTTGATATATTTCTTAACTGGGTTTTATCGTATGAATTCTTTGCTTTTGTGGGTATTTGGGTTTTCACTTTTCAGTTCGACTCTCGCTGCGGAAGAATCCTGTTTTGAGGGATCGTTTGTTTACCGCTGTTTTGGCCGGGGCTTTTGCTCATGGCTTTTACTTGGTGTATCCTTTTTCACATAAGCTGCTAGTTTTCTATTGTATGTTGAAAATTAAGTTCCTTATGATTGGTGATTTTGTGTGAACTTTGTGTTAATTATTGGTAGGAGTAAACATTTCCCAACATTCATGTGTTCTTTTGTAATGATATAGAAGTATTTCAATTGTAATCCTGAAAGCTAAAAAATGGAAAATCTAAAAATGATCACTTTGGTTGATGGCTTGGAGATTACTATTTGTGTCTTTTGGGCTGAAGTTATTGATAAATCCTGGTCTGAGACGTGGATTTAAATGAGGTTTTTCTTGTTACATTCAGGAGTTTTTATAATTGATAACTAACCATTCTGTGTAATTACTAGCTTTGTTCCAATGTAAATGTTTCTTTTTATCTTTTCTTTTCTTTGTAGCCTTTTTACTTTAGTTACTTATCAGGGATAGATTGACAATAGTTTTCAAGGTAGGAGAAAAGAATTAGGTCAGAATAGAATGTCGGAGGTTTCCCTTGAATTGCTCAAACTTAGGATGTATACATTAACATGGTAAATAATTTGGAGATAGGAATTACTGATCATTTGGTGGAGAGGAAGACTGTCCAGTCTCCTCAAAATGTTTCCGATTCAAGTCTGTTCGATTATAGCATTTGGAGATAGTGCTGGAACTTTGGACGGGCCGCCCGCGACCGCCCGAAAAACCCGAGGATTTGCCCGAGCCCGAACCCGACCCGCCCGAGATTTTGGGGCCGCCCGCCCGAGCCCAAATTTCACCTTGAACGGGCCGCGGGCTTGTATTCGGCGGCCCGAGCCCGGCCGGGCGGCCCGAGCCCGCCCGAATTGCCCGAATTTTTTAAACTTTTTTTTTAATATTAAGTTATTTATATATATATTAGTATTACAATTTATATATATATATATATTAAATTTGAAATGAACACACGAACTATATAAAAAAATTATTTCTTTATTAATTTTTAAATTTGTAATTCATGATTGCCTCATTAAAAACCTTACCAAGAAAAACCCAATTGGGATAAAAACTTGGCAAGGAAAAAAGAGTGCAATCATTTTGTGACGAATTACAAATTGTACAAACTTACATTGTTTATTAAATTACAAATACAATGTAAAAAGTAAATACATATTTACAAATTACAAATTTACAATTTAATTTGAAGCTGAGGGATCGTCTTCAAAATTAAATGTTAATCGAT